ACATAATATCCTTTAAGACCCGAAGTTAAGAGAGCATTAATACCTATAATTGATAATCTAAGAACACAAGTCTTACTGGTGCCCTGAATTAGTCCGTGTAATACTCCAATCTTGGGAATTCAGAAACCCAGTGGGGAATAGAGGTTAATACAGGGCTGTAGATTGATAAATGAGGCAGTAGTGCCCATTCACCCAGTGGTACCCAATCCATACACTCTGCTTTCTCAGATCCCAGAAGATGCCAGTTGGTTTTCAGTGTTAGATTTAAAAGATGCTTTCTTTTGTATTCCTTTATATACAGATTCTCAGTTTCTTTTTACTTTTGAATATCCACAAGACCAAGCATCTCAATCGACATTCACTGTGTTTCCCCAAGGGTTTGGAGATAGTCCACATCTTTTTGGACAAGTGCTTTCCCATGACCTGGCATGTTTTGAATTTTCCCAGGTCACAAACTTGCAATATGTAGATGACATACTATTATATACCCCCTCAGAAGAGCTCCATAGCCCAGGCACTTGTGCTCTGCTAAATTTTCTAGCAGATAGAGGTTATAAGGTTTCTAAATTTAAGGCAAAACTTTGCAGTTTTGAGGTAAAACATTAGGCCTCATTATAAAGGGACCTGAAGACTAGAAAGAAAAGAATCAAACCCATTTTCTCCTTCCCATAGCCCAAAACTCTAAAACAGCTAAGGAGATTCCTAGGAGTTACATGCTTTTGCCGCTTTTGAGACCCAAAAGGCAGATAACCATATTTTATGCTGGAAACCTGATTCTCAAGCTGTATTTCAAAAGCTTAAACACTTGTGAGTGTCCCCCCACCTATCCACAGGGTACCATTTCAATTTATATGTAGATGAGAGGAAACATGGCTTTGGGAGTGCTTACACAACATCAAGGACTTGCTCAACAACCTATAGGGTACCTAAATGATTTGGGCATCATTAGCAAAGGGATAGCTTGCTGGCCTTAGAGCTGTAGCTCTCTTATTGCCAGAGGCAATCAAGATGACTTTAGGCAAAGATCTCATTATATATACACCTCACAATTTGGCAGGACTCCTTTCTTCCAAGAGGAGTCTATGGCTGTCTGACAACCAACATCTTAAATACCAGGCTGTACTTCTAGAAGGACCAGCCATTCAAGTAAAGACATGTTCTGCCTCAAAGCCTCCCATCTTCTTGCCAGAACAGGAGGAAGAAATTGAGATTGATAAACATGATTATGAACAGGTAATTCTTCATACATACACAGCCAAAAAAGACTTGCTGCCCCAGATTTAACCCTCTTCTGTGATAACAGCTCCTTCATGAAAGATAAAAAAAGGCAAGGCAAGATATGCAGTGGTAACTTTACACCATACTCTTGAAAGCTCCTCACTTGCACCTGGAACTAGTGCTCAGCTAGCAGAGCTCATAACTGACCAGAGCCTTACAATTTATCAAGAGGTCAATATTTACACTGACTGTAAGTATGCTTTCCTAGTGCTACATGCTAACGCAGCCATATAGAAAAAAAGTTACCTAACAGCCAATAGATCTCCTATAAAATATAAGGAGATAGGTGATCTTTTATTACAGGCTGTCCTTCAAGATCGGATGGCATTAGATGTTCTAACAGCAGTACAAGGGGTCACTTGTGCAATTGCAAAAACTGAATGCTGTGTGTACATTCCTGATTCTTCTGCTAATATCTCAGTAGTAATTTCAAGATATTAGATAACAAATCAATGACATGTCAGATTCTAAAATTCCCTGGACTTTTTTCTTTAAAGGAATAAATTCTAGTTTCTCTTGGTGGAAATCTTTGTTAACATTACTTATAATTGTCTTATTGACTTTAAGCTTTGGCCCATACATACTTAACTGTTTCTGTGGCTTTGTCTCCTCCAGACTTAAAGCTGTGCACATACCCAAGATGGAAATGCCTGGTGTCTATTGAGGGCCTCTAGACAGGATCTCTGCAGAAGTACCTCTGACTGACGTTCAACCACTACAACACTGTTCATCTTAAAGAAGTTCTATTGGTCATCACCCATTACCCACTCATGGCAATTTGGGTTACTTCTTCCAAGGGAGGATTGTTGCAGGCAGCCGAGTTACTTAGAAATCTTACAGGCAGCCAGACAGGGATAGGTTCTCAAAGGAACCAGTGCAGATACCTTACCTTATAACTGTGGGGGAGACAGACACCTCCTGCTATGGGCTAAGCCTCAAGACAAGGATCAAACAAATGCAAATACATCCTAAAGACTGATATTCTAATTAGTTCCCTATCACCCTGAAAAAGCCTGGGGAGACTATGCCATCCTCTAAAAGAGAGGTCACAACTCTTAAGAATGCTGTCTTCATACGTGATTTCCTTTCCCATTTGTCCCTAATGTAATCTATTTTACCTGAATTATTAATCTTATTGGCTAACTATATGTCCCATCTTATGCCCATCTGCCTTGTAAGTTCCCAGTTTTCCCCTCCCCCGCCTTGAACCCATGGTTTTACTCTATAAACTTCCCTGGAAAAGACAGAGTCCTTGTTTGAGATAGGATGATGTAAAAAAAAAGAAAAAAGAAAAAAAAGAGTCCTGGGCAATCTGCTCAAAACCCCTTCTGTCTCTCTTCAGACAGAAGCTTTCTTCCCCTCAATAAATATATTCTACTCTTAACCTCCGTTCCTAAAATTCATTCTTCAATTTTAGGGAACACAAACTCGCAGACATACTAGGTCGGGAGTTTCATTTCCCTGTATCACCTGATCCTAAGAGGATGGACTGCGGGAGCAGGGTTTCTGCCTGAGCCCTGCCTGTGTCACTTGAAAGCTTTTAGATCAGGGCTTGTGAATCTTCCTGCCCTTGCCCTGTGTGTGAACCTGAGAGTAACCAGCCTCCATTGTCCAAACACTTGGCATTCAGTTCCTCTTTCATTCCTGAAGTTACACCCTGCCTTCCTCTGTCCCTTACCCTCAACCTGAAGAAATTCCTTTTGCATATTTCTGAAGCAAGTTTTCTAGCAATAGATTCTCTTGAGTTTTTTTTTTTCCTGCTGCGTTTATCTTTTCTGTTTGTGCACACTTACACCACGCACTTACTGTACCTGGGCTGATCTTTGCTTTTCAGCCCTGAAAAGTATTCTCTCAGTTCCTTCAGGCTGGTATGTTTTCTGATGGGAAGTCTCAGACTTTGGAACTGGTATTTCCTTGTATTGGACCTGTCATTTTCTTGGAGTACTTTCCTGAATTGTATTTATGCTTGCTGTGTATTAGGTTGAGCATTGGTTGGGTGAGACTTTTCAACATCTCAGATCTGTTTTTCATGAACTGTGACTTTTCCACCATTCTTTTCCATATCTATTTGTTCCTCAGCTCCTTTACTCCTCCTCTATCCATTCCAAAGGTACAGACATTAAACTTTTTATGTTGTTTTGCATAGCTCTGAGACACTTATTTTTTTCTCTTTTGTTTTTCTTTGTTTTCAAATTCTCATTTCATTGCCCTGCAGACTCTTGGCCTCTAGTTTTATGTTTTTTCTCCTGATGGGAGCTTGTTCATTTCCATTAATGTCAAGAGTATTTGTCCTTCTTTCTTTGAGAATGGTTATAGTTTTGTGGGGAAAACTGAGTGACAGTAACCAGGAGCTAAGGGGAGGAAAGCAAATTTCATTGATGCTAGTGGGCCCCAAGGGACTAATCTTCAAAGTCTGAGTTGGTAATTTTGATGGGAATTCAGGACCAGATTTCATGGAGACAGGGCACCAGAGGAACGTTCGAAGGCAGTTTTATTATGCTAGCAGAATCTCAGTTCCATATCATCAGCACTGACTGGAGTTTTACCAGTTGTGTTTATAAAGATCTCCAAAGGGAAGTACACAAGGCAGATCACCAAGTATCCTACAGTTAGTTACACATATGTTTATTCTTGATGATGTAGACAAGATTCACTCTTACAAAATCAGCAACTATATGAGGTTACTGTAGTACAACATAGAGGAAGACGAATTCAGTCCCAGCATTGCAAAAATCATAATTGTCTACTGATATTTGCTGTACTTACATACGTAAAATTCACGTACAGTCAGTGTTTAGGGGTTCATTTTCATCGTGGTTAATCATTAGGATTTAGAACGGGCATGTTTTCTATAGCTCTGCTGGCAAGTTGGTATACAGCTTTATTTTAGCTTCCAAGTTTGAGGGCGGCGGGGACCTGGGTGAGAGTGGCAGCTAAGAAGGTGACTGCTGCCACTGGGAACTTAGCTCAAGTGGGTGCTCAAGGACATGGGGTTGATCCCAGCCCCATCACACAGAGAGAAATATCAGCATGATGACTGGTCCAAGTAAACTCTAGTAAATGTTGCCATAAGATTTTTCCCCTGAGACATTAATGGAAAGAAAGACAGACAGACAGACAGACAGACAGAAAGAAAGAGACAGAAAGACAGAGAAAAAAGAAAGAAAGAAAAAGAAAGAAAGAAAGAAAGAAAGAAAGAAAGAAAGAAAGAAAGAAAAAGAGAAAGAAAGAAAGAGAAAGAAAGAAAGTGAAGGCTGAGCTGGCTGTGGAGGCCCATGTTTGTCCACACAATGGGCTGGGCAAGCAGCTCAGTGTGGTGGCCATGGGTTCAAACCTTGGGCCTAGGGATGAAAGAAGCAGAAACTGTCCATGGAAATTGATGAAGTATTTGCAAACATCATAAGCATACCTTTACCCTGATGAAGCCTCTTGTAAGTAGAAATGAAGACAAAAGTGTATCACACACTGGGAATACAGGCAAGTGTCACAGCACCTGCCTGGCTAGCATGAGGTCCTGAGTTGAATTCTTGGGACAGAAAAAAAAATTGTTTATTACTCTTTCTGTGAATACAGAGCTACTGTACCTTTCTAGTAAATGTTAAAAAAAATTAGATAAAGTTAGTGAAGGGGTTATTTAACAAAAATCTTGTTAAGATTTTGAAGTGCTTATATTTTAAAGTTGTTATATTTTGAGTTGCTTTTGTTTTTATTTTAAACTATAGAACGTCATTTTAGGGTGTAAAGTCAACTGGCCAGCAGATCCAGCACTCAAGGAAACTGTTCTGCAGCTTGAAAGGCTCTCACCGCAATCTAACAAGAATTCCACTGGGCCAGGTGTTGCCATGTGTGCCTTTGATCTGAGCACTCAGGAGGCTGAAACAAGAGGATTGCCACATGCTGAAGACCAGCAAAGATTTGCACCTTGCAGTTTTTGGATTTTTGTCTCTGTATGTCATTTAAATAGCAAGTTTCAAGTGAAATGAATTTGCGATGTTTGGGGAACTCTCCTAATCTGTAATTGCTTTTTAGCTTCAGTTAACACTCTAACCTAGAATCGGTCATTTTAAATAACACTAAAGTGACTGTGTACTCTTAAAAGGGGAATGTCTTAGTCATAGAAAAGACACCTGGTCTGATATCTGAGGAGCAGGTGCAGTTTTGGACATTCACAAGGTCCCAGCATTTAATTGTAATACTTGTGTGCATTTCTGCATTTGTCAGTCAGGATGCAAAGAGGTCTCCAGAGTGTCAGCAGGTGGTAGTTCATAGTGGGGTTATGAGTAACTGTCTTCTGTTCTCTCTGTGTCTGTTTCTCCCCTCACACATCTGCGCATGCACATACATAATGGGGGTTGCACCCTGGCAATGCTGATGTACAGTAACATTCATGCCCATTTTCACTTCTGTTTAGAGAAAAGCTCTTGCCAACTTACCAAGGCTGGCTTCAGACTTGGAACCCTCCTGAACAACTGGGATTACAAGCATGTACTGCCGTGTCCAGTATAGCTCTTTATTAATTAGGAGCTACTGATCATGTTTATGGTGGCACACACAAGATTTAAATATTTTAGAAGCCACATTTTAAAAAGCAGAAAGACAGGACTGGGTGTGTATAGCTAAGTGGTAGAACACTTGCCTAGCATGTACCAGACCCTGTTCGAATCCCCAGCACTATAAAAATAAATAAATGAAGATGTAATGAATGTCTTTAAACATTGTATTGTAAAATAATTGTAAGCTCATAAGCAGTTACAAAAATTATACGAAAATCCTATTACCTACTGAGCCAGGAGTAACATCTTATGGAAAGACAGTGATAGGTTCTGCTCATATGAGACTCTGCCAGGCTCAGTATGCCGCCTGCCCAACACGGCACTGACACTTACAAAAACAACAAGTCTCTCCTACACTAACTCCCGTGTTCGTCTTTTGGTCCCAAGACAATAAACTTTCTGTGTCCCTTCTGTGCATGTGCTGAAGGTCCTCCAAACCACTCACGGCACTGTCCACTCACATAGTCTCCACCCCCTGGACCAAAGGTCCTCAAGTCCTCTCTGAACATCATGACATGTCCACTCATGTAGTCTCCACCCCTATCCCAAACTCTCCCTGACTTTTTTGAGGGTCCTTGAAATCTCCAGCAGTCCTTTTGCACCAACAATAAAGGTTTTTTTTTTTTTTTTTAAATCTCTTTTGATGTCTCTCAGCTGTGCAAAAGAGCTAACATTTGGTTGTGATGACTGAGACCATTTGAGGCCTGCAGCTCTGGGGGGCTCCCCCAGTTTGCTCTCCCCAGCCAATGAGCCAACCTTCATGTTCCTCTCATCTCTGCCTTTGCCATTGTCTGCCCCCATCCAACACTGATCCAATCTGCTCCCCACAGGTGAGTCTCTCCTTTTACTCTCTCTCTCTCTCAAAATATGTGGGTCCCATGTCAGGACACCCCTCCATACTGTGGATGACAACCAATGGGTTTGATGGGGCACCTCTTTCTCTCTGTCACACCCACAACTAAGGTGATAATCCTCCTTAGGTTTTGTGAGTGACTCTGGCCTTCAGATCACCTCTAATTTGATCACTATGAGAAATACTCATTCCCACCCACAAAAACACACTCTACTCAGGTGTCCCTTAAAGAATTTAAACACTCTTGGTCTCAGAGAGAACTCTAAACTAAAATGACTAATCTCTTATTTCCCGACAGCTTGGATCCAATATAAAATGAACAATAACAGATTCTGGCTAGAACAGTGCACTTTCCATTTTAGCATTCTCTGCAACTTAGACAGCATTTGCTTTCACAACAGCAAGTGCTTGGAGACACCTTAGCTGCCCCCTGTGATGCTTTTAGAATGCATCCCTCTCATTCAGACATGAGAGTTGGCCCCAGGACTTCTGACACACCCTACACCACTAAACCCTCCTGATAATCCTAACAATCCTATTGATGAAGTCATTTTTGCTTTCTCTCCTGCCTTTCACTGTACCCACAGATTCCTCCCTCTGAACCTCTCCATGAACCTCACCACCCCATCTCCTTCTCACTCTGTGAGCCTCGCCACTTCATCCTCCTCTTCCTCCTCCTGTCCTCCATTATAGTGACACCAAGATGACCATAACCCTTCTGTTCCTTGCTAGATTCTTGCATAACCACTCAATTGTCTAAAATTATCATGATGGCAAGGGTATTAGCCTTCATATTCCCCTCCTTCCTAATCTTTATACAAATTTCACAGACTTTCTCATGGACTCTTCCCTTTCCTTTCCAAACCACTAGGGACAATTTTCCAATTCACAAGAGTATTAGAAATATAAACTCTTGATTCATGCAAAATGGCCTCTCTTATTGTGAACTGTGCTAGGAGATAAAGGAACATACCTCACCATGGCCACAGTCCTCATTGACTAAAAACCTCCTCCTCTAGTCCAAAACATTTTTAGTGCTCCACATGGGACTGCAAGACTATTGGGGTCAGGGGCCCAAGTCCTACAAATGTTTGGAAATAACAGGACCCTTGGATCAACTTTTCTTGACACTTTGATCTGCAACACACTAGGTTCCTATAACCCTGTTACTTTAATGATTAGGCAATCCTCTTGGCTGATAGACCACACCTGGAGGATGAGACGCTGTAGTAGGGGAACAGACCTGGGAGTTAACTTGAATATAAAAATGATCCCAAACCAAACAAGATACCCATTCTTAACATCCTCACCTTTAGCTTACCTCTGCCCCTTCCCTCACTATACTTTACGCCTCCACTATTCCTCAATCACTAAATCACACATATGCCCTTATATGGTCTTCACTTCACACAGACTGGACCCAATGCTGGTTCTGTCTCCCACTCAACCAAAACCTGTGGCTTGCCCCAGGGGTTCTTTGTTCTTGGGATGGCCATGCCACAGCCCTACACATGTGATCCATTTCCAACTTCAACAGCTTGAGAACACCCTGTAAATGTGTACAGCTGCCCCTGCTAGGTCAAACCTAGGAGGGACCTGGGATGCAGCAGGACACAACATCTGTGCACCAGGACATTTGCATAGCATGTGTGAATCCTGGGTTCCTTCCTGACCACCTGAAAGGGAGATTACCAAGTGCTGAGAAGGTCCTGGCCACACAGCCATAACAATCCCAGGATGACCCTTTCTCCTCGTGCAGTCAGAGCTGGGAGAGTTCAGGGTGAGATCTTCCTGAGGTTGCATAGGAGAATCTATGCAAGTGAACTGCAGTCCCGTTGGCACCTGTGCAAGGCAGCTCATGTGCCTTCTATACCTTCTGGGGGCTGGGTACAACGCAACTGGGTAGCTGCACATCTGCAGATGCACTAAGTAAGCTGCTTGTCAGGTATTGTGGTGGTGGGGTCGGGAGGTAGTCAGTGATGTGATACATGCCAACCAGGGGTTGTTTGCATACATCAGGGCTTCTGAGCCAGGCAGGACAAGGGGTTGGCCAAGGAAGGCCCCTGGAGGAACTAACTGCTGAATCCACGTTCTTTGAGAGTTTGCTTTCCAGGCAGAGACTGAGAGAGGGGACCCAGAAGAAGGAGGATGGCAACAGCACAGACAGGAGGGAGGCCAGTGTGATGTGTGGTGCATGTCTCTGTGGCTGGTGGGGTGAAGGGAGATAGACATGGTGCACAGGAGATACTGGAACACAGAGTCCTGGGAATAAGGGCAGCTCTGAGAGATGACGTGGGACAGGAGATGAGAATGCAGGCTGCTAAGTGACTTTGAATACAAGGGGCAAGACAGGATGCACAGGGACCTAAGAGGAGGCTTCTGGGGTCATCCAGGTGAGAGGTGGTGGAACTGGCCTAGGATAAGCAGTGGGCAGGTCTTGGAGAGGTCAAGGAATCTGATGGGGACCCAGGCCACCTGGGATCATCATGTCAAGAAGCCTGAGTGTTCACCTTGCTCTTTCCTATTTAGGTGCATTCTGATTGCAGAAAGCTACACCAGATTCCCCCACTTTATCCTTGCACTCAAAACCTAGACCAACCCAGTGGCCAGCAATGTCTGCTCCAGCTTACACATGGAATCGGACAGTGTCCCCAGGTTCCGTTTAGGGCCTCTTCCCACCTAAGGTGCCATGGCCCGTGGGGGTCCATGGCATCAGCAGGGGTGCTGGCACTCTGGTGGGGTAGAGGTAGGGTGGGGGTCCTTGGAAAACTCAGAACAAGTGTGTGTGCTGAATGGACATCTGAGGGGCTGGCAGATGATTTTACACACAGGCATGGTGCCTCAAGATTGGTGGGCCAGTCCCTCTCCAGAGAGGATCTGCAGAGTCCCTGGGTGGGGTGCACAGGCCTTCTATCTGCTCTCTAGGCATGGGGCTGGCTTCCCTTGCCCTCAGTGAGCTGGCAAGAATGCTGCAGGAATGCAGCATCCCTGCGTTTGGAGGAGGAGAGATAGAGGGAAGGGGCTGGTACACCAAAAGTCTGTCCCAGGAGCCCAACCACCACGCTGTGTGTCCTGCACTGGGTCGATTTGACATGTGCTCTCACACTGGCTGCTCTCAAGCACGGCAGAAATCGTGTGGATCCACTGCATGGCTCTGCTCCCTGCTTTGAGTGATTTACATGTTAGGTGTGATCTACAGGGATCACCTTTTCTGATTTGGGGTGTAAGAGTATCTGCAGCTCAGTGACTCTTCTCTGAGCAGTTCTGATGTGACTCTTCTATGCAGTTACGTGGGGTCTCCATTTTCATTATTTTTATTCATCAGTTCACTAATCTTTTCTTCTGGCTTATTCTTTCTTTTCTGTTTGTTTTTTGAGACAGGGTTTTGCTCTTAATTTAAACTAGCCTTGAACTCACTATGTACCCAAGGCTGGCCTTGAACTCACAGCAATCCTCCTGCCTGAACCTGCAGAGTGCTAGGATGATATGCATGTGCCACCACATACATCTTTGGCCCTATCCTTTCTCTAAAGTTATACATATTTCTTAGGGCATGATTCTCAGATCGAGGACTTCTATTTGGTTCTTCTTTACACTTTGCACTTTCTGCTTTGATTCTCAAGATCTTTCTTTTATTATTTTATCTTTGAGCATATTTATAATAAATATTTTTCAATGGTCTAGATTGTTTCAGTATCTGAGCAATCTTTTCCTCTCTCTTTAATCTTGCTTCTTTGCTCTTTATTTTCTTTCCAGTTACCCCAAGGACTTCACAAGGGGCCACATCTGCAGCCCATTTTAAATTCTTGATTGTGAGACAGGGTCTCAGGAAGTCACTAAATTGCAAGGCTAGGCATGAACTTTCAATCCTCTCCCTCAGCTACTGTGACACTGAGGGTAGAATGGGAACTTGGTTGCTTTGGTGATCTCGTTGATGGGGTTACCAGAAGGAGGAACACACCTCTGGGTATATCTGGGTAGATCCTGATGAGTGGGTCTAGGGGTCTCTGGCCCGGTACTGTCTTCTGTTGTGATTTTCCACAGCTCTGCTTCCCAGTCACCTTGAAACAAGCACCTTTGCTCTGTGGCACCCCTTTGCCATGATCGTTTTGTGAACCAGCCAGTGATGGACTGAGTCCTCAGAACCTCAGATCCCAATGAAATATTTCCTTCATTAAACTGTGGGGGTTAGTACTGTGTCTCAATGTCTTGGTTACTTTTTTCTTGTTGCTGGGACATAACATCCAACACCCTGAAATGAAGCAAAAAAGGTTTATTTATCTAGTTGTGGAGGTTTCAGTCAAAAATCAGCTAACTCCAGGGCAAGGAGGGTAGCAGGGCACCAGGGATATGCTTCCAGGCAGCAGTCAGCAAAAGCAGCCAGCGTAAAAAGCCAGGAAACAAGACTCTTCCTCCCCTATACTGCACACAGACCACCCCCACTCTAGGTTGGGTGTAGCGCTCACACCCTCTCCATGCTCTGCTCTTACCCATGCTCAGAACATTTACAAATATGCTGGCTCCCTGCAGAGTCTCTTAGGCAACCTTCTTCTAAACTTCTTAGACTGACACAGTATATCTACCATAACACACAGAGGTGAGAAAGCTAATTATTCAGCCTCCCTAAGTGCCACAGGTGTGTGCTGCCATGCCCTTTTGTTTTGGGGGTTTTTCCACTTGACTTTGTTAGGGCTGGGGATCAAATTTAGGGCCTTGAGCACTGTAGGCAAGTGCTCTACTTGTGAACTGCCTCTCCACCCCTGCTTCAAAGTTTCTGTGTACTTCTCCATTAATGTCCATGGAGGATTGCTTCCAGTACACACACATCCATCCAGCCAAAACTACCCAAATGCAGATGCTCTCGTGCCTTATACAAAATGATGCTCTGTGTGCTGCCCCCATACACTTTCAATCCTCACTAGATTATTATAATGCCTGAACCAATGGAAATGCTAGGGAAGTAGTTGTTATTCCACATTTTAGGAGGATAAAAAGGAAAAGAAATTTGGTCATGGTCAGTTCAGGCACACTTTTTCCCCAAATATTTATGGTCTGGTTAGAGTTGCATCCACATTTTTGAACCCCAGACATGAAGGGGCTACTATATGTAGAAAAACTGGTGATTGAGGAGCACTGTTGTCTTGTATTCCAAGACTTTGAAGGGGTTTTTAAAAAAGCACAGAGCCTGAGGCAGCCCACTCAGAGATGGGTGTGGAGGAGTGCAGGAGAGAGAATTAGGAAGAACTCCTGCATCTGGGGACAGCTCCAGCCCATCTCACCAGACCAGCCAGGACAGCCATCCCCCTCCATCAAGCCTCACCTTGCCCCTGCGGCTCTGAATACCCTTGAACCTCTGAGGCTGTCTGTCCTGAGGGTTGGAGGAGGTTGCAGGTGAAGCAGAGAGGGTGGAGCACAGACCTCAGCTAACAGAGCCTGGGAGGTGAGAGGAAAATTAGATGGAGAGCTGCTCTCAAGCCCTGCAGAGCTTCAGATCCTGAAAGCACCCATTCAGGGCCTGGATTGTGCCCCCCAAGGATGCCTGACCTTTGTAATTTTTGGTGTCCTCTTATCCCTCTGAGTAGCACGTGTGTTCCCAGGCCCTTCTTGTCTGTCAGTGCAGTTTTGCCCCCACCATCACCTATCCCAGCCGTCATGCCCCTGCTGAGATGCTTTCTTCTGGCCCCCGCCACAAGCCCCCAGTGGTTGGCTGACCAGCATCATGCACAAAAATACCACACTCAGCCCCAGCTGCCACTGCCCAGGATACCCACCCCCAGTACTGTCAACGCCATTGTCATCCTTCTGTCTTCTCAGACCTCACTCCTTAGGGCCATCTCTGAATCCTCTACCACTCTTCAACAAAGGAGCCCCTCCCCAATATCCCCAGCTGAAACTCAGCCTTGGTCTCTGGGGTGACCCTCCTCCCCTGCTCCCCTGGCCTCCCCACGTGCGGTCAGAGCGTGTGTGAAGCCTGGGGCACAGCCGGTCCCTCCCATGCCTTGTACCTTGGTGCCCCCACTCCTGCTTCCCCTGCAAGCTCTCTTGGCATGCTGCCTTTGGACCTCTCACTCTCCTGGATTCTTCTACTGTCACCACACTCAGTCCCATGTCCCTGAGCCTCTGGGCTACTCCTACCTGAGTTATACCACCTGGCTCCTTGTCTCTGGTGAGTGAACCTCTCCCACCTGGGTATCTCCCAATGTCACCTTCCTGCCAGGGCCTCCTTGGTCACTTTGTTTAAAATGTCCTCCTTCCCTCCCATGCACACTGCTGTTTGCTCCTTACCATCTGCCAGTGAACGTGTCTGGAGCTCAGCTTGTCTGGGGACCTTGGGGTTCACTGTTAGCACTGTTGGACCAACAGAAGCATGGGGGCTTGCACCTTTCCACACAGCGGGTGCTCTCTCCTGGCCTGCATGTAGAAAACTGCAGATTGTATGAGCCAGCAGCCTCTTCCTCTAGCCTGTACCTGTGTGTCCTGTAGGGCACCCCTCTGTTCCACCTGGGTACTCTCATGCCTCCACACAGAAGGGGGCCTTGTTGGGCATGGCTGAGGCATGGAGCTGCCAGTCTCCCTTGCCTTCCTGGATTACTGCACTTAGTGAAAGGGTTTTGGCCCAGACAGCACACTGTAGCCAGGAAAGCCACAACCGGAAGCAGGAAGCCCCATCTCCCCTGCCCCTAGGAAGTTACCTGTGACGCCATCTTCCTGCCCCTGGAAATTTACATATGTCGCCAAACCTAGGACCAATGGGCTACCTGTGTATCCCTAATGCCCGCCTTAGTTTCCACCCCAAAGCAAGGCTATTTACTGGCCCCCATGCCATGTGTCAGCTGGAGAGATCTCGGACACCAGGGGTGGGGGTGTCGGTCATCTCTCTCTGTGTTCTCGGAATAAAGGCCGCTTTTTATTTTTTATTTCTCATCTTTTGTTAATATTTTTCATCTTGCAGGCCGTCGTGAGTTCGATCCCTGGTACCGATAAAAAGGAAAAAGACAAAAAAAAAAATAAAAATATATTTTTCATCTTTTGTAAATAACCCTAGCACTTAGTAGGGTGCAGGCATTGGACAGGGCTCATGAGGATGAAGAAAAGGAGGAGCTGCATTGCAATCCAAATATTATATATTATAATCCAAATGCTGTATGCTGTAATCCAAATATTACATATTATAATCCAAATATTGCAATTCCTTTTGCATTCCTCCTCACAATCCGGAAAGGTATATTTAATTCCACTGTAACCTAATTGGCATCTCAGCAAGTTAACACCAATCTACCACCTCCAGTGCAAGGCTTGGTGAGAGTAAAGACACTAAGCCCTCGTCTAAGTTCTGGGCAGCCAAGGAATCCCAAGTCTGATCCAAGTGAGGATACACAGACAAAGGCCTTGATGTAAGGTCTCTCTCATGGTGTATTATCTCATGAAGAAAGCAGTGGTCCAAGGATGACTGACAGTGAGGATGGCAGGAACTACATGAGTAATTTTGTTTTACATGAGTACTTTGAGCTGGCTAGCCAGGTGGGGAGAAAAGCATCTTTTCAATATGCAAGGAGAATGATATGCAGAAGGACCAGTCTGCATAACCCAATGACGGTAGCATTTGAACAGTTTTAGGAGGGTTGCTTTGGTCTCTGCTACGCAAACTGTTTTACCCTGGGAGGTCACGGACTTTTATTTAGAGGCTCATACGCAGTGGACATTGCTGGAGCTCACTGCAGTGGTTCTGCCATCCCACTGTGTTCAACTGTTTCACAGGGAACCCAGTGTGAGGAAAATGTCACTTGGCCTTAAAGATTACATATCAGTATCTTGGCTGCCCTGATTTGCCTTGCTTGGAGCCAGTTGAAGGGTGATGGACATACCATAGCCAACTCTGTACATAGCAGGGCATGGCAACAAGACTCAGTTGAACTAATGCTGAAGCAATTGTTCTGCATTGAAATGGAGCTGCTAAACATGGCTCCTACAGGGGTGTCTAGATAGAGCCCCAGATCTGCCCTTCCCAACTGAGAGGCACCAAGGGAACAATCTCCCCTCCTCAACCACAGGCAGTTATCAGGATTGGCACAGACTTTTCAGGAGCATGGAGACTGTCCCAGGGACCATGTCATCCTGCCATACCTGTACCAGCCAGCACCATGACCTGGAATCAGAAGAAAGAAGCCTGGAAACAAGGCCAGGAGAAAACACTGCAGACACTCAGTAGGCTGAGCCGTGGGAAGTGCAGATAGGAGGGCGCGTTCTTTCATAATTCACACTCTACTCAGTTTCAGAGTGCATCCCATGAAAGTATATTCCTTTTATGATGGAAACAATAACTTCCTTCTGTGCTCTCTAGAGGCACTAACCTCTGTTTGTTCAGTACTTGCAGTGGATGTGGGAGATGGCAGTGGCCTGGCACACCACAGTGGAGCAGGAGTTTTCTGCCTCTTTTCTGCAGAGACTAAGGAGGCAGAGCCCCTGGCAGACTCCGAGGCCAGGCATCCCAGACCCTGCTCCCCAGAAGCCAGGCCCTCCCCATCTGGATCCATGTGCTTACCTGTGTCCACATCTGCTATGCTCTGCCACTTGGATGGTGGGGGCCAGGGCTTTGCCTGGGGATGTGACCTGAGAGAGAGGGCCTGACTGTTGCAGCCCCCTCCCTGGCACCCCAGCTGACCACGGGCCTGGGTCAGGTGGGCTCCGCTCCGTCACCACAATGTTTTTCTTCTGGTCTAACCTGTTCCAGCCTCAGAGGTTTGAGATCACTGGGAACTGTAGCTCGGACCAAGTCAGAGCTCCTATGGCCTGTGTGGCCATCGGATGCTGATTCACATGAATGCTTTCCTCTGGGGGCACAGGGGTTACTGTCACTGGCATCAGGCATGGGAGGATCATGTGGGTCGTGTGGGGCGTGTGTGTGTCACGGTACCTCCACATAGTCTGGAGAAAATCTTGCGTAGGTTTCCCAAAACCATCCGAAGAGCTTGTCAGGGACATCCTTCACACTGCACGTGGACAATGAGCTTCTGGCGGGTCAGAGCATCGCCTACCCCAGTCCTCTTATCTGGTCCTTCTTCCTAGAATTTGGTCTGTGCCACCTCTGATTCGACCCTGTCATGCCCAGAATCTGCCCTGTCCTAGGCACAGTTTACGTCCTTGCTCCTGATGTCCCTGAGCTCCAAACCACATCCCTGTTGGTCTCAAACCAGGGGCAGGCAGGTCCAGCTCCTTTTGGTTAGTAAACAATTTCTCATGACCTATCTTTCTATCAAATGTAATAGGAATGAACAAACACTGTAAAAATGGCCATTATCCCAAAATTGTTATACAGATTTAATGCAACCCCAATCAAAATGCTACTAGCATATTTCACAGATCTACAGAAATCATTCTAAAACTTCATGTAGAACCAGAAAAGACCTAGAATAGCAAAGGTAATTATGGGTAACACAAAGGCAAGGTAGAAGGCGTCACAGTCCCCGACTTAAAATTACATTATGAAGCTGCTGTCATAAAGTCAGCCTGGTACTTCAATAAAAATAGACCTGAAGATCAACGGAATAGATTAGAAGATACATCTATAACTACAAAGACACTCAGCCACGTTATCTTTGACAAAGGGACCAAATACGTTCACTGGAACAAAGACAGCCTTGTTAATAACTGATGCTAGAAAAACTGGCTCTCCATATGCTGTAAACTAAAACTAGACCCTTGCCTATCACCATGTACTAAACTATAGTCAAAATGGATCAGAGATCTCAATATTAAAACAGAAACACTAAATCTGCTAGAAGACAGAGTAGGTAGAAATCTTGAAGGTAGTGAAGAGAATTCAACAAAAATCAAACAGCATGGGAAGTACTTCCCAGAATCAATAACTGAGATCTCTTCAAAAAGAAATCTCAAACAAAGTTCAAAGAACCATGAATGTTAAAAAAAATCTTAATCAACAGTTCCTCAGACAAAGGACTTCTGTCTAGAGCATAAGGTATTTAAAGATCAGACCCTCGAAATACAAAGCCATCCAAAAATGGGCATCTGACATGAATACACACTTCTCAGATGAAGAAATACAAACGGCAAATACAGACATGAAGAAATGCTCAGCATCATTGGTCATTAGAGAAATGCAAATGAAAACCACACTGAGATTCCATCTTACTCACATCCTGAAAGAATGGCCAGGATCAAGAAAACTATCAACAACAAATCCTGGAGAGGCTGTGTGGAAAAGGAACTCTCCTGCACTGTTGCTGGGAGGTGTAGACTGGTGCAACTCTGTGGAGGTCAGATTGGAGGTTTCTCCAAAAGCTGGGATTGGAAGTCCCATTTGAACCAGCTATTCCACTTCTGGGCATATTAAAGAAGAACTGAAAACATGATATCACGGTGATATCTTTGCACCCATGTTCATAGCAGCACAATTTGTAATAGCCAGATCTTGGAAACAACCTGAATGCCCATCAACTGAGCAATAGGTAAAAAGATGAGATACTTTTTTACAGTGGAATCCTACGCAGCTCTAGAGAATGATCACATTGAGATTTTTATAGGTAAATGGATGCAACTGGAGACCATACTCATAAGGGAAATAAATCAAAATCACATAAATACTATATTGTCTCCCTAGTGTAAGAAATGGTAAGATACAAAATCACAGCAAATTCTGTGAAAGGTTAAGAATCTGCTCAAAAGGGAAAATATGTCAGGGAAAATGCGAAAAAAAAAGGAAAGAAAAGCACAATATATATAAATTTGTATAAACCCACTTAAGATAACTAAGATGATTGTGCTGCAAGTTCTATTAGTTCTTGGGACAAAAAAGTTAACTCTCATAGGATTGGATCACTTTTGGCTGTTTATGTCTGGTGATCTGAAGAACTCTTTTGAAGATCCCTATGTAAAATAGTTCCGTTCTTACCACCTTGTTTTGAAGGACTATGTCGTCATTGTTTTAGGTATTTTGCTATTGTTGTCTTTTTTGTTTCTTGTTTTCTAGTATTTTGTTTTGCTTTTCCCTTTCATGCAGAAAGATAGGTGTATATGTAAAGGCTTATACATGCCTAGAACTTCTCCCTAACAGTTCATGAGCATCGATTGTATTGCGTGTGATGAAATAAACAGCTACGTTGAAGAAAAAGAGACATTATGGTTTCCATTGCTGATTCCCGATCATCATGCTCTGAAATCCAGTAATGCTTTTATTCTTTGTTCGGAGTGGCTTTAGTCCATTTTGTACTATTTAACTTCAACATACATGACGGTATGACAGCTATTTTGGAGAGAACAAGAGACATTATGGCAGCCATTGTTGATTTTCCTATTGTCTGGTTTTGAAGGCCTAAAATGTCTTCATTATTAGGTTGTGATCCATTTTATATTATTTTGTTTTGTATGAATTCATTGTGTGTGAAATATAGAAAACTATTTAGAAGAAAGCTACAGATATTATGGTAGCCCACTGGTGATGTCCTGTTGTTTTGCTTGGAAATCTATGCCACTTAGATTGTTTTCTTCTGATCTGCTTTGTTCTGTTTTATTTTACTGTCTTTAAATTTCTAAAAAAATTTTAAACATTCTTTGCTAGAACCTGCCATTATTCTGATACAAAACAAGATAAACCTCCACACAACAACTACAAGACGAAAACTACAGGCCAATCTCTTTAATGAACATAGATGCAAAATTCCTCAGAAATATCCAGGCAACCTGCTGTGTAATTATCAAAATGATCACATACCTTAATCAAGTTTACATCCCAGGGATAGAAGGAGGTTTTGACCTATGAAATCAATAAATGTAATACATTACATAAAGAGATATCAGGAAAAACCCCATACCATCATCTCAATAGATGCAGAAAAAGCTTTTGACAAAATCCATCCACTCATATTAAAAACGCTGACGAAAATAGCTACAAAAGGACATTATCTCAATCTGATAAAAGCCATGAGGACA